AGATAAACACTTTAAATTAGCATAATGGAACTTGGGTAGTTGGGGTATATTACTGAACAATGCACCAACATCTATATACAAATAAAAGCAGAAAGCAAAAACATTATTACTGTATTTGTGGCATTGTGTGACAAAAGAAAATTCTATCTGGTTTCGGTTACGCAACACGAGTCACAGAATCTGTCATAATGATACAATCTAAATCATGTAAAAATCCTTCAAGGCAAGCCAGCTCACAAAACTGTTCAATCATTGATTCATGAAACGAAGTTGCCATGTCAGAGGATCACTTGCAATCCTTGTCAGTTGTCTGTACACAACAGACCTAAAATGTGGGGTGTATAGGAACTACTGAATAGTAAATGTTGATTCCTCTCTGTAGGATTTGTGTAGATGTCTACAAAATTAAAGGAGAACTATGGGGTCAGGGCTTTTCCCCATAGGTCTCCTAAGGGTAACGGGAGGACACAAACTAGCGTCCTCCCGTCACCCAAAGCTCAGTATACCGCGAGCTGTAGCTCGCGGTATACTTTGTATACTCAGACGCCACAGCTGGAACGGATCCCGACAATTATGTCTGGATCCACCCAGCTGCGCGAGTGACAACCGACTCAACCTATCTAGAGGCAGAGCCAGCTGTACCTGCCCCCTCCCCTCCGTTCCGCCAGTCAGCGCTGGAGGATCGGACAGGGGAGGGGGGAATCCAGTCCCTCCCCTGTCACGGCGCTCTGCCAGCACAGGATCGAGAAGTGAACGAGCGCCAGTATGTGTTTGCTCACTTCCCGATCTCCTGAGCCAATCTGTAACAGTTTCATTGTCACAGGTTGGCTCAGATTATGAGGCTGAGTGAAAATCACTCACCTCATAATTCTCCTTTAAAGAAATAGCAGTGCCAATAGACTTGACTTGTGCACGTAGGTACTCAAGATATTTGAGCAATCCAATAAAACTGTGCATTGGGCAGTTTACAATTGTGTAATATTTTTTTTAAAAATCCATCATTACATCATTCAAATATGCTTTAGTACCCTGAACCAATAGGTATAAGGTCTTGTCTAAAAAAGGGGACAATGGACACCAAGACAGAACTGTCACCAGAATTTGTCATTCTAGTGGTTGCAGTGGATTATTATGTATTTCCTGCTTGGTATATAAAACAAGATGGGGTAAATACTACTTCTAGATTATCAACAAAATCTTTAGAAAGCAGACCAGTCCTTTGCTAGGATATTATGGATTGTTTCTTAGTTCCCATGGTACCACACTTTAAAAATGTATTTCAAAATGATAGATTGCAGCTTAATAGTCCTTGACATCTGTGATAACCAAATAACCCCTTTGCTCAATGTGTGTGGTCAACAAGTCAGATTGAAGTGCCTCATATTCTCCTACTGACATACTGTTTGGCATATGGTTCCTGAAAGCACAGAATAAACTATCTTCAAAAACATTGAACAACAACAAAAAAGTGTCTATCATATTTAAGTAGGAATTAAGATACATTATCAACAAGCCTTGCTTTTGCGGCAAAATAAAATTGTCCATTCGTTTTGCAAATCATGTCATCCATAAGTTTACATTAAAGTGGACCTGTAATGCAAGGTTCACTTTTTTAAAGCAGGACTCTGGGGGCCTGTTAGCCCCCTATCTGATATGAGTTAAGTGTTAACAAAAAAAGTGTAACAAATTAGTTACATATAAAAGAATAACATTTTTTCTATTTAAAGTGCTCACGTACAACACTAAACTGAAGGGCTAAACACTAAACTAAAGGCTTTGAAAGCCTTTTGCCATTTCACAGGCGCACACAATTTTAAGGCTTGACATGTTTGGTATCTATTTACCCGACAACCTCATCTTTTATATTTTAGCAAAAAAATGATCTTCTTTTGCGTGCAATATAATTAATGTAAAAATATTGGTTTGATAAACATTTGCGCAAATATTGTGCAACATAAATAATTGCAACTAGCATTTTATTTTATTCTACAGGGCCTGTGCTTTCAGAAAATATATTATAGTTGCTTGCAGCCCTACCCAAAACAAATGAATAATGAGAATAGTTGTCAACTAATCTTATTATCAATTAGCACTCTCCACCATGCTGGGAGGAGGGCACAGCAAGCAGTGGGCGGGGGCAATAGCCAGCCTGCTCTGTGAAATGGCCACTAGAAGGCTGGCTATTGCACCAGCCCACTATCTGCTGTATTTACATTCCGCTGCCATCTGCGGAATCTTGCCACTGGCAGCTGTCATTCCCTGGCAGCAACTATTCAAGCGCCATGTGCTAATACAATAAAAAAAAGTAGGACAAAAAAAAAGAAAAGTAATTTTCGGTTTTGGCTGCGAGAGGTGCATTGCAGTGCCATTCATTTCACACTGGCACCCCAAATGTACCACACAGTGTTATTGGCCGCACTGGAACGCACAGTACCATAATGCCATGCATTCCAGTGCAGTTGCAAAAAATTGTGCATGCAGTTTTACTCTGAAGAAAACTTAATGTTTGTAAAACTACATTTGTGTGTTTCATGTTAAATGGAGCATGGTAATTATTAAATTTTTTTAATCTAATTAATCGAAAAAATAACCGGCCAACTAATCGATTATGAAAATAATCATTAGATGCAGTCCTAGTTTTGGTGCTCTAAGCTATTTTCTAGCCTAAAATTCAGATATCATGTGTGTGTAAAAATTTTGAAATTGCTCCGGACTGCAATTGGAAATGAAGCATTGTGAATTGACAAATTTATAGACTTACCCTCTTGCCCTTCCCACCACATCCTTCTTTTCCAGCCAGTTCTGTCCCTGCTTGTACAGCCCTCGATCATCCACAGCATTGTTGTCTCCCTTCGTCAGGAATTTGATGTTTCCATTTTCCCTTAATCAGAAATATCTATTATTATATAAATAAAACAAATGATGCAGTCCAAAGATGTAACACAATATTGTTTCGCATATAATCCTTGCTTTACAAGGTCCAGGTTTGTCCCCCACATAAACTGTGGCTTTATGCTTAGGGCAATGCTAGTGGCCACCTGGTTAGGAATGGGGTTGGATAGGTTAAAACTGGGGCTTGAAGGGATTATCTAGAGGTAATAAGTGTTTCAAGCCACTGGAAGTACTCATTATTTCCCTCTGCTATATGCCAACCTGGAAGAAAATCTCTGGGTATGCTGTTTCTTTGCATTTACAAGAGAAGGAAGTGTTGGAGTCAAATGCACAGTCAATGAACACTGTCGAAGTCTCACAAATGGTCACTGTGGTGCTCCACAGGTAACGATCTGCAGACCAAAATAGGTACTAGTAGGAGCCACAAGATACCTGCCCTTCAGTAAAACAGATACCTGAATAACATTTTAGGGTCAAAACAGGATCACTTTAAGAATCAGTCTACTCATGGATTTCATTATAGTACTAAAGTCTTACATTTCATACCCAATTAGACCCAATTTGTATAAACCAGTTTATGAGAGCAGTGCAATTGCTTAGCTAAAGAAAGCCTACAAACGCTTGCAATTTTCCATCTTTGCCAGTGCAACCTTTAGTTTCCTGAATGCTGCTTCCCCAAATGTCCACTCAGGCAGCGTGCACTCATCATTTCATGGAAAGTCCCCCTGATCCCCCTCCTCAGGACTACATGTGTGCCCCGTCTAGTCCCTCCTGGTTGCCTGTGCATGTCAGCAAGTTGTAGGACCCTGCAAGGCAAAGGAGCCACTAGAGCAGTGTTTTTCAACCTTTTTTGTGCAAAGGCACACTTTTTTCATGAAAAAAATCACGAGGCACACCACCATTAGAAAATGTTAAAATTTTTTACCTCTGTGCCTATATTGACTATATATAAAGTAATTCTCTTGAATAGGAATCAAATAAACACAAATAAATTATTTTATAATTACTTTATTATGAAATAATAAAGTATTTAACAGGAAACCTGGGGCAGCAATCTATAAAACGGCTCAACAGGAAAGGCAAACTTCTAAAGAAAAAGCAGAAGCACACAAGGCAGATGCGAAACAAGAACCTTCAGGGCCCCGGTGCAAGAAACGCCGCCATGGCACTGTGTGGTTAACAGGACGGCTGCCGAGGTCCCCAGCAAAGGTAAGTGCTTAGGTCGACTTCTGTAACGGATATTAAAATGTGAAGGTTTAAGAACACTGTAACTTAAGCATGCACTCACTTCTCATGAATTTTCAGAACACGATGTACAATTGGTATCTCTCTTCCTTCTATTCTGAAAACCACTATTTCACCCACTCTAATAGGATCATCCACACGATTGGTCAAGAAAAGCAAGTCTCCTCGATGGAATGCAGGCTCCATGCTGCCACTGTGGAGAGAAAGTCCAGAGTTAACATATTCTTTAATCACTAGGAGATTGAAGAACAACATTTCTTGTAAGCCCTCATGGGCAGGGCCCTCCTTACCACCTTGTCTTGAATTATATTGTGATTATATTGTCAAGCGCTGCGCAAACTGTTGGCGCTATATATATCCTGTATAGTAATAATTTCTGAAACAGATATACGTGTGATTCTACTCTGAGAAGGGTGACAGCACTATGTCTATTACAGGTAAAGAATACAGGGGTGTCACCTCCCTGCATCTACCCAACTGAAAAGGACAATTAAGCAGCAGCAAAACACTGGTCACCTTCATGCGCTTCCCTCTTGTAACCATGCTGCCTGACCCAACTGGCTGTGCATGCAAGAAGTCCATCTCCTAATGTGCAGGGAATTAGGCCCTGTTCACACCAAGGTGGCATCATTTTTGTGCATTTGTACGTGTGGGTTCAGCATGCAGTTGTTTGCACATGTGGCACATTTTTATGTATGTGAAAACATGCATTTTGATTGACAGCTCAAGAAACAGTGCAGTCAATGGACAAACGCACACAAAAATGTGCAACATACTTTTGCCGTGTGTTTTTCTGGCATTTCAATTAAAATCTATGGGGGGAAAAAATGAGCTTGAAACTGCCAAAAAAAGGTCATGTACTTTTTTTCTGCGTTTGGCGTTTTGCTGCTCAGGTGTAAACAGCGGCCATGGAAAATCATGGGAATTCTTGAATTGGGCTTTTAAAAAACACATTTTCTACTGCTCAAAGATGCCTAGGTTTGAACCAGGCCTTACAGGAAGCTGATAGAGACTAATTCTGGTACTTAAACCATTAAATGTATACTTTATGGAAGGAATTCTCAAGAAAAAGAAAACACAAATATATGCACCAAGTGCAACCAAAAGGAAAAGTGGATTCGCATGTTGACGTAGTTGATTCAATCACCAAGCAGCGTTTTATAATACTTGATTTGATATTCCTGCAAAGACAGTTCTGTTGGAAAGATTCCATGACATGTGACTAAAAAAGACTCGCATCTATGTTCTGCTTTTTTTTTTTAGTTCATAGGTAAATTTGCTGTAAACCATTAAAGAGGAACTGAACTAACAAAGCTGTGTCCAAAACAAGGCAGGCAGAGGACATAGGACTAGTTACCGAGTATCCTGGTGCTGATCTTTGCCAGTTAGTGACTTCCTATGCCTTGTTCTGCACTGTGGCTCTGTTTGGAGGAAGACATCTTAACAGAGCTAGGATTATGTTAGAATCTCCAGCAAGATGGGCAGTGAGCAGCATAATAGTGACATCTCTAGTCTCACTTCAGATCTCCCGAGACTAGTAGCCAGTACGTTAGATCTCACACTGCAGGT